TTCTGGCCTAGGAGAGCTTATCCTCCCTGAAAATGAACCTGGAAGCAGCATTATGCCAGGTTGTATATCTAATGTCTTTAAATTTGTATAGATCAAATAATTAACAACCGTATATAGAACTAACCACTGAGTTGAATAAAAGTGGTGTGAAGCAGTGGCATGATGCAGTTTTGGTCAGTTAATCCCGTTTTCTAGTATATATTTTTTCAAGTAGTTTTTTGCTTTGATAACTGAGTATACTTTGGAGAGGTGCTATATAAAGGTTTGAGAGCAGTACATTACTTCTGGGTGATAAAAGAGCACTTGTGTGTGAAGTCAAACAGCTGTCAAGAACATACAAGCAACCTTTCAGATATTTCCCTTCTGCATAAGGCAACCTAATTGCATTATCAGAAAAGAGCAGCAGGTTTAATAAATCATTACTTTTTGCCCAGTGGTGCTCAATCTATGGTCTGCTGGCTGGATCCAGTCTGTGGCATGGGGGATCAGCAGCAAGCAGCTTGGCCTGGCATGTCCCCTTCCCTTTCCTGTGCAATGCTGCGGATCCCCTTTACAGCCCTCCTTTCTCTTTTCCATCACTTGTGGCAGGCAGTAGGAAAGTGAAGCATCTTCCTCTCTCCCTTCCCTCCCTCTGACATTGACTTCTAGCTGGAGGGAGTGGTGCCTCGCAGTGCAACTGGGTTGTAGGCACCTGGCCCACTGCTTTAAAAGGTTGAGCACCACTGCCTCTGCATAGTTCATTAGCTGAAAGCCCTTTTAAGAGTTGAATATTCAAGAAACAAAACCTGCATATATGACAGGGAGGAATAAATGAGCTAATGAAAGCTGCGTTTATTGACTTTTTTTCTTGAATCCCCTTTTTGCAAACAGGAAAAGTGAATCCCACCCAGTGTGAAGCTGTTACGATGGTGGCAGCTCAAGTGATGGGAAATCATGTTGCTGTTACAATAGGAGGCAGCAATGGACACTTTGAATTGAATGTTTTCAAGCCCATGATTGTAAGCTCAAAACACTGTAATCATTTCAGAAACCATATATTTTCTTATATATTGTTTGTGAAGAATTTAAGACTGCCTGGGCAATGCAGTCACTAGAGTGATGAAGAAATATAAATATTAGGAGAAATGAGAATTCTTAACAGTAAATCAGTTTGTTTTGGAAAACAATTTGTTGTCCCATCTATGATGGATCGTTTTTTAGCACTTTGAGCTCAGAGGTACATATACTCTGATCATAGTACCCTGGCAGAAGAAAGGTAAACGACAGAACTGAGGCCACTAGGTTGAGCAACTTGTGTGAAGCCCTGAAGGGTCTGTCTTAGGACTGCTCATTCCAGAGCTTAGATGACACCGTTTGTTGTTGGGCAGTCTCTTTGGCCTTCCTGAAGTATGGTCTCCTGTAGGCAGGAAGACCTTTTCTAGTTATACCATTGCAATCTCCCATTTAATTTGATGATGTTCAAACTGCAACTTCAGATTAACAATGTTTACATAAACTAATTGTATGTATACTGCTTTCAATAAAAGGACTTGCCTGCCTTTCTCTTCAGGAAAGCTATGAAGAGGAAAGGAGCTGTAAGGAAGAATGAATTGAGGGGAAAAATAGGAATAATAAAGAGAAAAACCATAATAAGCACAGGAAATTCATGGAGAAGGGAGGGTGTAAAGTCAAAAGGAGAAAATTAAGAAACAAGGTAATGGTTAGAGAGGAAGAGAAAAAGTATAAAATAGTTGTTTTAGCCCTGCAGGAAAGATCCTAGATATAAAATAGTAGAAGTAGAAGATGCAGATCAGAAGTGGTAAAGGGAATGATGTAGCTAGCAACATAATGTCTTTTACTTGGTCATTTATTGACTACCATACTATTTAGAAGAGGGTCATTTAAAACAAGTCCATAAGACAGCTAAAACCCAGTTGTCTCTGAACATCCTAAATGAGGAGTTTCAAACTGGTTTGGCATTGGGGGCTCATTGGGAGCTGTATCTGGACCTCGGGACTGTGCAGGGACCAGATCCAGACTCACCCCCAGCTGCTAAAATGTGAGTTAACAGTATATTACTAATATACAGTGATATTATCATCAGAATATTTAGAAGTCTGTTTCCATTGGCAGTGCTTACTAAAAGTTTTTACTTTGGTGCCATCTACCAGATTATGTAATTGGAATCTTGCCTCCCAGATAAGATGATAATTAAAGCTTCCAAATGTCATCATCTACTGTTGTATAGTTTAGTTAAACCAAAATAAAAATAATTACCCAGCAGTTTACTCTGAGAAGCTTACGAAGATGCTTTCCTTACACGCACTAGTTTGGATAATATTCATTATGTGTAAGAATTCAACAACTCTTCAGTTTGAGAAGTTTTCCCCAAACGACTTCTTAAATATCAATGATTTTTATGTTACAGAACTAAGAGTACAATACAGTGCAATACACCGTTTCTAATGAAATTCTGTCAAATGGGAAGGTATTATAAGACCAATGATGTATTGGATCATTAAAATGCTAACAGCTGTGTCTAAACTTTCTGCCTTTTTTTTTTTTTTTTTTTTTTTAAAGATTAAAAATGTATTGAATTCTGCAAGGCTCCTTGGAGATGTTTGCATTTCATTCACTGACAACTGTGTGGTCGGGATCCAAGCCAATACAGAGAGAATCAACAAACTAATGAGCGAGTCTTTGATGTTGGTGACAGCACTTAATCCCCACATTGGTATGTCTCAAACTTTACCTGTTATTAGAACAAATTAGGGGTGCACCAATAGAGATTTTGGGGGCAGATACAGATGGCTAATTTTTAAGGAGACGTATCAGTTGATATCAATCCAGTTTCTGATACAGCTGTGTGCAGCTGGTAAGTCTGTTGTGGATGGGGAGGGGGGACGGAAGGGGTGTGGCAGACAGATCAAGGACCCTGATGAGGGATTGAGTGGGGCTGGGGCAGGTGCTGTCTGGACAGGGCAGGGTGCCAGACAGAGCCGCAGCTTGTCCAGGGGGTGTGGGGCGGCTCCTGCTGGTGCATGCACCCCAGGAGGGCATGGGGGTGGAGGGGCGTGTGCCCCCAGATCTGCATGGGTGGGGGAGCTGCCCTTTCCTTCCTGCCCTGTGTTGGCAGGATCCCGGCATGGGAGATCTGCAGCCCCAGCCCCTGCCCATGGCGGTGAGGGGAAGCTGTGGGTCCACAACTGGGCAGTGCCCCTAGTGGCTCAGCTGCACCCGTGGCTCCTCGCTATAAGCCTAGGGGGCCCACATAGCACTAGGCACATGGTGAAGACATGAATGGTCAGGGCCATTCCTACTAGAGATCTCTAAATTAGATATGTGCTATCAGTTAACTGTTTAACCAATATAATTAGAGGAGGTTAAACAGGTAATTTTTTAAATTATAACTTTAATTCTAATCTTAATTCCTGTCCAGGGTTTCTGCTTTTCAGTGCCTATGTTTTTATACCAGTTAGACTATTTTGTCACTAGGTGGCACCACTTATCTGTGTTGGAAACCAAGTGACAGAATTACTGATTTCTGTCCAACTTTACATAGCTGGTTTACCATAAGGAAAAATATGATTAGTTACCATAGTGCCTAGGACCCCAGTCATGGAACAGGACCTTATTTTATATAACACTAGAATGTGATAGTTTTCATTGTTGGCTGAAAAGAAAGTTTCTGTTCAAAACAGCCACATCTGGTTTTTAAGACTTTCCTGACAAGGTTCCTGGAGATCTGAGATAACTATACACTCAGTTGTCTTGTCCTAAACTTTCCAATAGTAACCAACTATTGCAGGTTAGCCACAAAACACTAGAGGAACTGTTTGAGGAAATACTTCACTGGACTGAATGGTGATGAGCCTAACTTTTTAAAATATTGTATGATAAAATGTTAATCAGATGTTCTATAGACATAATTTTTTCTATATCGCTTTTAATCGCTGTCTCTTAGGCAGGAAGTTGCTTCAGTAATATATCTGTTCATTATTTAAAATGAATTCAATTACTGCAGAGTTGCTGTAGTTATTAGTAGCCAGATTATGTGGAGGCCAGTTTTCCCATGGTTGCCTCTCTAACAAATTCTCTGAATCCCCATTTTACCTAAAGGACAATTAATCTTGTATTCTTTTTTTGATTTCACTGCAGGATATGACAAGGCAGCGAAGATTGCCAAAACTGCACACACAGAAGGGACAACACTAAAAGAAGCTGCTATTAAGCTTGGATTCCTTACATCAGAACAGTTTGATCAATGGGTGAAGCCTACGGAGATGCTTGGTCCTCAGTGACTTTAACAAGTGTACTTAACAGAAGAATTTAAATTGTATAATATAAAATATTATGGGGCCTGTTTGTTTTGTCTCTCATTGTCACTTGCCTCATGAATGACCATATATTTTTCCTTTGTGAGATATAAGGCTAGAATGGTTTTCTGACACAACATACATACACAGAAGAAAAATCTTTCCCCAGAAGATTGCTTCAGTGGCAGCTCAGTACCAGGATTATTTCAATATGTATTTAACTTAAATATATTTCTGAAAAAAAATAACTGCAAATTTGAAATGGTGTTACCAGAACAACATGTGAATGACTAATTTACTGGATATTCTCTAAAGTATCCCATCTTGAGAAGACCACTGATACCCAACTGCATTTTAGTTAAGACTTTCATTTCTGCTTCCCTTCCCTCATCTACCACCATAAGACATTTTTCTTTAAAGTAATAAACCTGAAGGATGCTATAGTCAGCAGGGTTCTTGGTTTTTGAGCGCAGTCTTCTGGGGGGAAACCAAGGGTCCTGAATACAAATAGAGCAGCTTCCTGCCACCCCCTGGCTGGAGCACCAGGTGGGGAAGCTACAGCACAAATACAGGTTTCCCTCGCTTTATGCAGGTTGTGTGTGTGTGAATTCACTCTTATTCATTGACCCTTTTTCTGCCAAAAATTTGTTATATGCAAGGCAAACTCACTCCTATGCGATTGCTGTGGTGGAAGCCTGCAGTCAGCTGCTTTGTGTGGCGCAGTGTGGGAGTGATGCGCACCGAAATATAGTCTGTGTGGATCTGTGCCCCTCACTTGTTGTCTGCAACATGTGTTTCTGTAGTTGCCATTGCCATTATAGTGCTCTGTGCTTGTGTATACTGCCTACTGTTGGCAAGTACCAAAATGGTCTTGTAAAAGTGGAAAAAATGGGTCTCGGGGTCAGTACACTTCAGGTCTTAGAACTGCGCCTATTTGTTATGTTGTGAAGTGGGTTCCCTTTATGTGAATTTGAGTTATGTGCTGTTTTCCAGGAATGCATGTACAGCATAAAGTAAGGGAAACCTGTAAGCATGCCCAGGCTTTACTGAGGAGGCTGAGGGTCTTGCCTTGTCCTGTGCTGGGGGGAGCTGCCTCTGTTCTGCATGATCCTGCTCTCACCATGGCTGCTTGTGGGAGCCTTTCTGGGGAGCCCTGGTGGGGGTGAGGCAGAGAGGGCATGAGCCCAGAGCTTTCAGACAGGCACCCAAGCTGCAGAGAGGGACTGGCCCCCTACCCTGGGGGTTTGCTGAGCTCCTTGCAGTAGATACAGGGGAGTTGGTGCGAGGACATGGGCAGGCCGGTGCTTTGGCTAAATGCGATCTCTTGAATTAAGCCACCTGCGTCGGGCGAACGAAGCTGTGTGAGCTCTGGGGCAGAGACGCTCTTCCTTGTGTTTGTTCCCGGAAACTGACGCAAAGCTTTGTTCCTACGGCTCAGCTGGTCTAACAACAACAGACCCCGCCTGCTCGCCCTTTAACTGTGCGGATGACTTGCCCTGCCCCCTCCCCTCAAGGCAGGGTGCGATTCGCCCCTCCCGGCAAGGAGGGCAGAAGAGCCGGCGCGGTCATTATGCCCTCACTTCCGCCCGTGCTTGGGGCCATTTCCCGTCCCTCGCACTCCGGGATTGGCTGCGGGGCGCTTGGGGCGCAGGCGCAGTAGCGGGCGCCCGGGAGGGGCGGGCTCACGGTGCATTTCCGGGTTGGGGGCGCTACGGTCTCGGTGCGGCCAGGTTCGGATCCCGCCGCCATGAATCGCTTCTTCGGGAAGGCGAAGCCGAAGGCGCCACCGCCGAGCCTCACGGACTGCATCGGCACGGTGGGTGTGGGGCTGGGCGCGGCCCCTGCGGGGGGCTCGGCTCGCTTCTCTGCCCCGGGCGGGGCGGGAGCAGCGCAGGTCGCTGTGGGGGCGGCTCGCTGCTTCCGCAGAGCCCGCGGAGCTGCTCTACCGCCTGCCCCGCGCCAGTGTTGCGGGGTCTTCAATCTGCGATGACCGCACTGGAAGTTCGAAATTACCATATTTCCTGGAAAACTATCGTACGCTGATATTTATGGTTCTGGAGTCTTGGATTTGGAATGAGTTTTGGCTAATTCGGCCGTGGAAACAAATTAAATAATAATACCCCTCCCCCCAAAAAAACCAACCAACCAACCAAACGAACAAACAACAACCCCGAAACCAAACCAGCCAACCCAAAAGTCGGCTACAACTCTTGAGAGTGACTTGGTTTTTGTGTATACTGCGTCAATTGGCTTCCTCCAAAATTATTGCCTGTTTTGAACATTTTTACTATTATTGGCTGTACGTCGTACAAGAGTTGACATTATCGTACAAATACAATATCGTACACCTGGTGACACTGTCCGGCTCCTTCATGCGCTAGGGCGGGTACCTGTGTAGCAGGGGAACCGTAGGCCTTGCAGGAAGGCTGGAGAGATGGTGCTTTGGTTTGTAGTTTTGCCCCAGCAGGGCACTGGGGAGAGCAGTGTGGAGCTAATACAGGCTTGCTCTATCCCTTTGCCTGTTAGCTTATTCTCAAAGTGGCTGATCTGACAGTACGCTAGTCCCTTGATGTACCTGTTTTCAGTTGCTGCTGCTGTTTGTTGCTTGCGGGATAAGCAGACTGGTGGCAGAGTCCTTTTCAGGTGGCCTTCTTGTGAATGCTTAGCTTCTTCCTGAACACGGGGTGACTAAACAGACATATAGATTCAATCAAAAAGTCCTGTGAGTGCCTGTTGTTAAGTTTTATTTTAGATAGGTTGAATTAAGCTAGTGTCTGTTCAGTGCAAAATAATTCTCGTATTCTGAAGTACAGTTAAAATACAAGTAACGCATAGTAGACTGGTTCTTACAAGAATTGTTTGTTCTGTGAGATGCTGAGGAAAAGAACTTAGTGAGGTGTGTGGTTTTTCAATTAGATTTGAGTCCTTTAAAGTGTCAGTGTTGCAGCCCTTCAAATAAATGGTTATTAAAAATGTACAGGCATTTGGGTCCGTTGAATTGGATGTTTTAATCATTCCTATTTAATTTATTTCTTTCTGTTTGGTAATTGTACTTTTGTATGCAGCAGCAGGAGTAAGTGGTCAAATTCCTTCTCTTGGAACAAAAGAGTGCAGCTAGAGTGTTAGGGTTGTTGCATAAGAAACACATGTCTGTTACTGGGATAAAAAGTATGTTAGGGTTTGGGGAATCATAGCAGGTTAGGGTTGGAAGGGACCTCAGGGTCATCTAGTCCAACCGTCTGCTCAAAACAGGACCATCCCCACTTAGATCATCCCAGCCAAGGCTCTGTTTAGCCAAGCCATAAAAACTTCCAAGGGTGGAGATTCTGCAGCCTCCCTAAGTAACCTGTTCCAGTGCTTCACCACCCTTCTAGTGACAAAGTTTTTCTATCCTGCTTAAACCTGTCTTGCTTCAACTTGATACCATTGCTTCTTGTTCTGTCATCTGCTACCACTGAGAACAGTCTAGCTCTATCTTCTTTCAAACCCCGCTTCAGGTAGTTGAAGGCTGCTATTGGCTCCCTTCTCAGTCTTTTCTTCTCCAGACTAAATAAGCCCAGTTCCCTCAGTCGTTCCTCATAAGTCATGTCCCCCAGCCCCCTCACCATTTCCATTGCCCTCTGCTGGATTCTTTCCAATTTGTTCACATTCCTTTTGTAGTGATGAGCCCAAAACTGACACAGTACTCCAGATGTGGCCTCACCAGTGCTGAATAGAGGGGAATTATCACTTCCTTTGATCTGCTGGCAACACACCTACCAGTGCAGCCCAGTATGCCATTATCTTCTTAGCAACAAGGGCACACTGCTGGCTTATCTTCATCTTATCTCCTGTAACCCTCAGGTCCTTTTCTGCAGAGCTGCTGCCCAGCAGCTCAGCCCCCAGCCTGTACCAGTGCATGGGATTGTTCTGTCTTAAGTGCACAGCTTTGTGCTTGTCCTTATTGAACCTCATAAGATTTCTTTTGGTTCAATCCTCCAATTTGTCTAGGTCCCTTTGAATCCTAACCCCACCCTCCAGTGTATCTACTACTCTCCACAGCTTGGTGTCATCTGCACACTTGTTGAGGATGCAATCCATCCCATTTTCCAGGTCATAGACGAAGATATTGAACAAAACTGGCCCCAGGACTGACCCTGTGTCACTCCACTTGATACTGGTGGTCAAATAGACATCAAGCCATTGACTGCTTCCTTCTGAGCCTGATGCTCCAGCCAGTTTTCTGTCCACCTTACAGTTCATTCATCCAGCCTGTTTTTCCTTGGCTTGCCTGCGAGAATGTTATGGGAAACTATATCAAAAGCCTTTGCTAAAATCAAGGGACACCACATCCACCGGTCTTCCCACGTCCACAGGGCCAGTCGTCTCATCATAGAAGGCAATCAGGTTGGTCAAGCATGACTCGCCCTTGGCAAATCCATGCTGACTGTTCCTAATCATCTTCTTTTCCTCCAAGTGCTTTGAAATGGATTCCTTGAGGATCTGATCCATGATTTTTCCAGGGACTGAAGTGAGGCTGACTGGTCTGTAGTTCCCTGGATCCTCCTTTCCCCCCTTTTTAAATATGGGCACTATGTTTGCTCTTTTCCAATCATGTAGGACTTCTGATTGTCATGAGTTTTCAAAGATGATGGCCAGTGGCTCAGCAGTCACATCAGCCAACTCCCTCAACACCCTTGGGTGTATCCTGTCTGGCTCCATAGACTTGTATATGTCCAGTTTTTCAAAACAGTCCCCGATCTGTTCTTTTGCCACAGTTAGCTGCTCACTTCCTCTCCAAACTGTGCTGCCTGGTGCAGTAGTCTGGGACCTGACCTTTTCTGTGAAGACTGAGGTGAAAAGGGCATTGAATACTTCAGACTTTTCTGTATCCTCTGGCACTAGGTTGCCTCCCCATTCAGTAAGTGATCCACGCCTTCCCTGATTTTCCTCTTGTTACTGGCATAACTTGTTGAAACCCTTCTTGTTACCCTTGCTAGCTGCAGCTCCAATTACACGTTGGGGGTTTGGGATGGTATAAAGGTTTCTGCCCTCCTAACGCATTATTTTTCTGGTGGTAAATGTAGTACCCCTATACTTATCAGTCACTTAAGCAGGAAAGAGCAAATCCTAAATTCAGTAAAGAAATCGTGTTTCTTTGTTAGCTGAGTGTTAGCTGGGATTCTCTTTTGACCATAGTGAGGACTTGTCATTTAATTTTGACAGCGAGCTCTGCTGTACATCAGTGATTTAAATGTATTGTTGAAGTTTGTGGACCTGCAGAGTGAGGTGCCAGTGCAGCCAACTCGATTGGCAATTGACAATGTAGTAATGTTTCGGACATCACCTAAAAACTGAGCTCCTGTTCATTTTGTGCCCACCAAAATCTCCGTTATGTAGTCTCTGTTGGATTAGGATAGGCTGTCCTAGTGACCTGCTTATGGTTATTTTATTATCCAGTGGGGGCATCCAGTTGCCCATGAAACAGAACTCCACCATGGAGCCAGCTGAGTATAAAATATGTGCTTGGTTTGTGGAAAGCTTCAGAAGGTGCAAGATGCCATAAGCATACAATACTTTGAAAATATTATGTGCTTTATTTTCCTTTTACTGATAAAGCAGATGACATCGTGAACAGCTTAATTGCAAATTTTTCAGTGCCATCTGTGACCAGGCATTTCTTCCCTAGTGTGGAGAGAACTGATAGCAATAACTCTATATGAAAAGTGCCTCTGGCGACAGTGTACTGCTGCGAGATATTGTAGGAAAGAGGTCTTACAGGAGCATAAAAGTAACAGAATGAACATCCTGACAAATTGCTTCTATCCAGATACTGTGATAGAAAATGAATTTGCAAATGTAGTGTCATTTCAATTTGAACAAAATAGTTAAATGGCTGTGTTTCACTCTAGTAATATTTCACAGAATGAAAAGCTTACACGTTAAATTTTTTGTGACTTTACCCTGAATATACAAAGTCAATAAATGTTAACTAAAAGGGTCTTTTTAAAAATTTTTTAAATAGTCTATACCACTGAAAGGAACCACATCCATGTCTGGTCATGAATTGTTCTCAACACAAGAGGCAAGGATTTCTTAGGGCGATATCTTCTATTGGACCACCTGCATTCTGAGACCTGAAGAAGAATGTCTTGCATTCAAAAGCTTGTCTAACTCTATCCCAGCTACGCAGTTGATCTAGTAAAAAATATCACCCTTAAGGAATCCTTACCACTTGCATAATTCTTGGACTCTTGGACCACTATGGCTATGTCACTCTAACACTACTATTTAACATGTACGCATGCATGCGCATGATAACAAGCAGCTGTGTATATGTGAACATGGTTTATTTCACGTGCTTGGCAAGTATCTTAACCATCAGTAAGAACCTTTTTTTTTTGCCTTTCTTGTACATAAGGTGGATACCAGAGCTGAGTCGATTGACAAGAAAATTTCTAGGCTCGATGCAGAACTGGTGAAGTATAAAGATCAGATGAAGAAAATGAGGGAGGGGCCTGCCAAGGTAAGAAGAATCCATCTAGCACCACCATGAGGAGTGACTCGTGTTTTAGTCTGTCATGTAATGTAGTGGTATCATAACCAGTTCTCCAGGTTCTTCCAAGTCTCCTTAGCAATGCTGCTTCTAACTTTGAGAGAGGATGGGCTTATTTTTTTTTCTTTTGGAATATCCCAGACTTGTATCCATGGTTTGTCCTTAGAGTTATAGTTTTATAAGGTTACTCTGTGTAAAATGAAAACAAAGTGGTTCCCCAGTCAGAAGCAACTTTCCCTGTGTTTTATGGCCTGCATTAGGCTTTCATAGGTGAGGAATATGGGCAAGAGATCTTTGACCACCTAGTTACATGCTGCTAGGATGGTTCTTCCTCTGCACTAATCATTGGCCCCTGTTCTCATAGTTATCATAGACTTCATTACATTTTCCACACCACAGAAAGGAGAGAATCTCATTAACCCCTGACTTGTAAATTTAGTTAGATTTATTGCTTCCTAAATGAGGCAAATGAGGGCTTGCTCTGTCAGAGGTCAGGGTGTGTTTTATTTGTTTACACCAAGCTTGAACCTACAAACGAGACCAGGGGGAGGAACAGAGGGAAAACAGGCGCCTAGAAGCTTTCAGCTTGCTCCTCCCAAAAAAACTAGCACTGAAAACTGGCTGCCACTTCTCCACAACACCCAGCTGTGGCACGAATTAAGCACCCTTTCTTTGGGTTGGAACCAACGACTCTGCAGGCCACATGTAGCCTGTAAGCCAGAGGTTTCCTACTTCTGATGTAAATGATTGAACCAAGCAAAAGCCTCATGACCTGGTAAAGGGGTAAACATTTAAAAGAAAAAAGTTGTTACATTACCTTACACAGTGTTGTTTGGTTGAAACCTGTCTATTAAATAATAGTATTACCCAGTGAAATTTGCTTCCTAACTTGATGTGCTCTGTGCTGTTCAAAGAGAACACACAAAACACTTGTTTTATTTATCACTGATGTGTACACATGCCTGTTTGAATAATAATGATTGGTGCAAAATGAATATTTCTTGTGTTTTAACTGTGTTGAACACTTCTCACAATGTAACTTAAGGGCTTTTCAGAGCTAGAAAATTATTTAAATGAAAGGAGATACATGTTAATGTATCTCAAGCTAATTTAGCCATATTACTTAATATCTGTCTGTTGCATCTCTTTCAGAATATGGTAAAGCAGAAAGCTTTGAGAGTGTTAAAGCAGAAGCGAATGTAAGTTTAAAGCTTCTTAATCCTTATTCAGTGAACTACTGCTTAGTATGGAGGGAGTGGTGGCACATTTGCTACTTCTTACTTTAATTTCTGTGCCATGTTTTGCAATTAAATTATTGAAGACATCAGTCACCTGTCTAGAAGCACTCATTTTTCTCATCTTGAAGTTATCACAGCTAAAAAGCTGACCGTGTCATCATACTGTCTCTTTTGTTAATGGATGGATATATAGTTGCTGTATATAACAATTGTATAACCAGTGTGCATGTGTATATGTAAAACATAAGCTGTCATAGTACCACAGTTAAAAAATTAGTTAAAACAAAATTAAATGTTTGTAAATCATTTGAAGTTTCGCTGGTCTCTGACTTCAGGGATATAGATGGATACTGCTGCATATTAATAACTAATTTGTGTGCATGCATCAGTTCTGTAACAGTTCTTCATATGCACAGCTGCTGGCCCTTTGGCTTCAATGGTGTTCTCAGCATGGTATGAAGGAACTCACTTGGGAAGACCCATGCTTTCCCATATTGCTGTGTCATGAATAAACAAATATGTATATAAGACCCTTACTATACCACCACAGGTTGTTTATACATAGCGTGACTGTATGTCCTGTTTGGCTGGGACACTCCTGGATTCCATAGACTGGTCTAGGCTGCTTAGTCATAGAATCATATCAAATTAGGATTTCACAGATTCACAAAAGTTTAGGGCTGGAAAGGACTTTGTGAGATCATTAGGTCTAGCCCCCCTGCTCTGGGCAGGAAAGACTGCTAGGGTCAAATAACTCCAGCAAGGTGTGCATGTAGTCTCCTTTTGAGGATCTCCAGAGTAAGTGCCTGCACCACCCTCACTGGGAGTCTATTCCAGAATCTGGTCACATGAACCATGAAGTTTTTCCTTATATCCAGACTGAAACCTTTTAGGAGTTTATGACCATGCTCTTGGTTTTCCTATGGGGTGCTTTGGTGAATAGTTGGTCACCTAGCCCCTGATGCTCACCCCGATACATTTTTAAGCTGCCGCCAAATCCCTCCTGAAAATCTTCTTTTCTAGGTTGAACGGTTCCATATCTGAGCTGGTTGGAAGGGACCGCAGGAAGTCATCTAGTCCAACCCCCTGCTCAAAGCAGGATCATCCCCAACTAGATCATCCCAGCCAAGGCTTTGTCTAGCTGGGTCTTAAAAACCTTCATGGATGGAGATTTCCCCCACCCCTCTGCATAGCCAGGTCCAGTGCTTTATTGAAGCAAAGAAGGCAGGTGGAGTGGAGCAGGTGCCATCTCACCTTCATGTGGCGCAACCTTGTTCCTGCACAGCAGCAGTGGTGCTTGCCTGGCACACCATGACGCTCCACCTTTGTGCAGAACTTTTGACCAACCAGCCAGGACTGGCCTAAGGAATCTGGGAGTGTCCCAGCCAAATCTAGATGTATGATCACCCTATTTAAACACTGATTAACATGGTGAAAGCTTAATCCTGCATGCAAAATAACTTTGTCCAGTAGCAATCCAATAGACAAGGTTTCAGTAGGTTGTGTAACAAAATTAAAAAACCTGTATAATTGATATAAAGGAAAAGTCTTTCCTTTTTTGTGAAGGCCTTCAATTTTTTGTGTCCTGCTTCAAATATCTTGTTTGTGGGCTGTGTCCCTTCCCCAGTTAAGACTGCTTACTTCCAGTCCATTATATTGCTATAAATATGATTTTTTTGTAATATTTTTAACAGGTATGAGCAGCAAAGGGATAATCTGGCACAGCAGTCTTTTAACATGGAACAGGCTAACTACACCATCCAGGCACTGAAGGATACAAAGACAACGGTATCATATCAGCATGTTTATCTTAAGTTTGCTTTATTTCATGCCTACTGCAGTAAAAACCATTTTGTTTCACTCTCCCTTTTAGGTTGATGCTATGAAACTGGGGGTGAAAGAAATGAAGAAGGCTTACAAGCAAGTCAAAATTGATCAGATTGAGGTGAGCTTTTGGCTTGTGTGTTACTAAACTGTCCGGAGGAAATGTGCTAATAGTCACCATAATAAAGAACTAAGCAGTGCCTAGCTTATTGCTTCAGCAATAATTGAGCTGACCAACAGTTTTTCTTAAAGATGGAACTATGTGTTATGCATATTGCTTATCTTCATCCTCTGGATTTGTAGTTCCTCTGTTATTGTACAACCAACTCTTGGCTTTAAATTGCATCAGATTGTGATACCTCACTGCTCTAGTCTTTCTCTCTCACCCATGCTTGATGGTGATCTACCCTTGTTGTCTGCATTCCACTTTGTCTACCTACATTCTTCCATATTTTTTTATAATGTGAATCCATCCTCCTGCCTGATACCGTGGCTTCTCCTGGCACATACTGAAAACATACTCTTAGCAGGTGCACATAGCCTCATCTTTCCCTCAGAAATGTTTTGATAAATAACATGGCTTTAAAAAAGGAAGGTAGGAAGAAAATATTCTAAACTGTAGTGCTAAACCTCTCTTTGTATATTGTTTACATCTTCTTCCACAATCCCTCACAGTCAAGGATGATTGTCTTCCATGATTTGATTGCCTTATCTGTGTGTCTGAAGATGGCTGATGAAGCCTATCAGAGATTGACAGACTCTGTTGCAGCTTGGACATGTATTTCCATGTGGGATGGGTGGCTCTGGACTTTTTTTTTGATCTGAGACGCGCTGTGTCTGCCACTCCTGCTTTTCCATCTCCTGTTGTTGTGAGGTTTCAAAGTACTGAGATCCCTGCTGTAGACTCTTCCTTCATTTGGGGTGGTCCTGGGCAATTGTCTCCCATTAGTTGACATCGATGTTGCATTTTTTTAAAACTGGCCTTGAGGACATCCCTGAAGTGCTTTCTCTGCCTTCTTCTTGAGCGTATGCCTTTGCTGAGTTGGGAGAATAAATCTTGCTTCAGGAGTCTGGAGTCAGACATCCAAATGACATGGCCGGCCCAACAAAGTTGATGTTGGATAATTGTTGCTTC